TAATTATCTTCTTTCCACCCTCCTTTTCTCATTATTACAGTTCCCCCTTTCTTTCTCATCCATCATTTCTGTCTCGACAGCATTTCTCACCAGACACCCTTTCTCTTATCCTCTCCGCTTTTCTCTCTCTGTCTCCCCTTTTCTCTTTCCATCTCCCCTTTTCTCAATTGTTTTCTGATGCTCATCTTGAAGTGTGACCAATTTCCGCTGAATGCCAGCATAATATATCATTACCATGGCGATTGCTGTCATGATGAGAATTCACACCCCTAGAGCAAAGCTTTAACTTCAGCACATGTATGTTACTATCAACTGTTTTATCGAAAAACTTCTATGCAGGGTGTCTAAACATATAGCAACTGAGAATATGTTCCTGCTCCGTCTCCATGAGAGCCTAAACAACCCTCACAATTTAATCATTCCTCATTGAAATCTAGATATATAACAGTTTAACAAAAATGTGTATTCTGAATTGTGTAAAAAGAGATCATCATCTTGATGAGGGAAGTCACTTTCTATAGCCAATCTTAACTAAAGAACTCCTGATCACTTTGCAAGTTGACTTCATTCTCTACCTCATTGCGTTTGGTCACGAAAAAGTTATACCAGCATTTAGGTATTCTTTTCCATCTCAATCTTGATGATCTTATCTCAGAGTACACTACACCCCCCCCCCCAAAAAAAAGAACTCATCCAATGACAGCATTACACTTTTGAGTTTGATTGCTAAAACTCTTCAAACTCCTCTCCAGCTTTATTAAAAAGGAAACAACCAGCATGTTAGAGAAAAGCTTTTCAAGAGTTTCATCATGGAAGAGAAGGTTGAAAAAGTCAAGGGATGGTTTGCAGAGCTGTTATCCACAAGATCTCACGACACTTTAGCCCCCTGCCCTTTTCACCCTTAATTTTGAAGTAATGCAACGAGCCATCAAAGTGCAGACACCTTTCTTTCTGTGCTACAAACTCCAAGATGGAAATGAATTCTTGTAGGATTCCCTCTGATTACTGGGTTCTGCAAATAACTGGGAGTTTATACCTTCTCGTCTTCGAATCGTAATGACCAACAGACCCTCTGGACCCTGCCGGACGTCTAGCTAGCGGCTTTCCGTCACATGATTGCAACGTTGGTTACAGCTTGGCTGGGCAACAAGTGTAATGTCAACAGTGACTGCCCGGCCGGCTGTCTCTGCAGGCTACTGGGGATTATTACGCTTTATTCAAGCTTTTCTGATCCGTTTTGCGATAGATGCTGATTCTGAGATGTCCGACATGGATGACGGCCCATGGATTATTACATGGTCACATGCATGGCCTTTAGGCGTTACTGCCCTTACAACAATATTCAGAATGAACACTGTAGCATGGGTGCCTTTAATTGTGAAATACCTTTGTGGAATGAAAACCGCAACGTCATTCAAAGTTAACTCATGTGAGCCAATCGTGGGGACATTCTAACCACACAATCACCCCGCAGATATCTTACATATCGCTTCTCATTACCACGGAAACTTTAATAGGGGGGAAAGATGTGAATGATGGAGCAAGATTTCCAGAAATGAATACATATTAGACCCCTGTTACACATGCGTCGGCTTTTAAAGCGGGCCCCGGAGGCGGCCTCACACCGGCAATTTGAAGCCGCCTCGAGATCACCAAACCCCTGTTACACATGATCTCGGGCCCGCAATTTTGCGTCTACACATAGGCCGGCCTCACGTCGCCTTTTCACGAGCTGATGTTGGGGCGGACTCCAGAAAGACAGAAAGAGAAAGTGATAGAATGATAAAAACAAAGAATAACATAAGAGAAGGTAATAGAAGGGAGAAACAAAGAATAACATAAGGAAAGACAGAAAGAGAAAGTGATAGAATGATAAAAACAAAGAATAAGATAAGGAAAGACAGAAAAAGAGAGTGATAGAATGATAAAAACAAAGAATAACATAAGAGAAGATGAAAGAAGGAAGAAACAAAGAATAACATAAGGAAAGACAGAAAGAGAAAGTGATAGAATGATAAACACAAAGAATAACATAAGGAAAGACAGAAAGAGAAGGTTATAGAAGGAAGAAACAAAGAATAACATAAGGAAAGACAGAAAGAGAAAGCGATAGAATGATAAAAACAAAGAATAACATAAGGAAAGACAGAAAGAAAAAAGGATAGAATGATAAAAACATTTCACATAAGGAAAGACAGAAAGAGAAAGTGATAGAATGATAAAAACAAAGAATAACATAAGGAAAGACAGAAAGAGAGAGTGATAGAATGATAAAAACAAAGAATACAGGTTACGTCACTTCCGCTTATAAGCCGGCCCGAGTCCACTTTTGGTGTTACACATACCGATTGCGGGACTGAGGCCGGCCTCAAACCACATCCCGAGGTGGACTGAGTCCACCTGGCCTCAGTCCGGCTTTTCGAAAAAAGTTGGTGTTACACATACGTCGAGCCGACTCCGGGGCCGGCCTCAGTCCACTTTCAGACGTATGTGTAACAGGGGTCTTAGTTACACATGCAAAGGATGAACTGCCAAAAAGGCATTATCTCTCTTCTAAAATGACCCAACTTAATATCATTCTTGAACCAGTTTTTTAATATTATGTCATTCGAAGGATATCACAAGTTTATATATTGAAACTGCATTAAAACATGTAAATGCAACTAGCATGTAGACTAGTCAAGGCACTGGTGTAAAAGTGAGTGAGCACATAGATAAGTAAACTCAGTGTGAACTCTGCATTCAAGGAGCTACCTGTGAGCAGTTTGGTTTCAATTTCAATATTCTTGAGACAAGTCGAGATGGAAAAGAGATGTAAACCACAAGCAACTGAAACCGCTTTAGAAACACCTCCAGCTACAAATAAGGGCCATTCTTGAGTGATCTTTGGGTAAAACATCAGTGCTCATCACTGCACTCAGCTTCACCCCCCCCCCTTCATCATGAAGCCACAACTCCATCTAATCCCCCCTCCCCCCGTTCAGACATCCCAAATTAATCAATCACATAACTAAACCGTCGTCTACCTGGTAGCTTGAATTTTAGGTAAAAAATGAAGCGCTAAGCAGAGGGGCGTCAGCACTAAATCGCCTCAAACTTTTATAAAACTGACTTATTTCCGAGAAAAAAATTGTGGCCGTGTTCTACTATAACATTTCTATTAGTCTTTTAAGTTTTAAACCAATTTTTGGGACAGAAAGCACTTTAAATATAAAACAAATCTTTAAATGCAAATAATTCAAAAAGTAGTTTTTTGAGTCATTTGTGCGCTAATGCCCTTCTCCCAATTGGGCGACGATATATTCTAGCCTGAATGGATAATGAAACATGGTTTTGCAAAACAAAATCATTATTATTATTGAAATCATAATTTTATCACAAAAAGGTAGCACAAAATTGTCAAGATATGGAGCTGGTACATACATGTACCATCTCGGTGAGCTTAACTTGTATGTAAAAAACAACAACAACCTTTTAAAAAACAAACAACACAAACTACATGTATTATGCATTTTGTATTCTAGAGGCGTCTTTTTGGGCCATTATATTTCCCTAAGCTACCTCATACAACGTTTCTTTATACGATGTTGTTAACCAGTGTGAACACTCCTTCTTTATGCAAGTTTTGTTAAAATTACCTCAGTCTGAACAGGGCCTGAACAGTGAGGGTATGGGGCTTGTGCCATGGAGTGTAAATAAAAGATGCCTGTTAATTTTTCATGCATTCTCCACGGGCTGTCCCTCGGTCATTCAACCCACAAAAAACCAAGATCTATTTTGGTCTCCCTTATCTGGGTCGCACAAAAATGATGCTCCTAGGGAGTAGTATTGTGTTGTTACAGGGCTGTTCTCACTTGTACAAGTAATCACGATGAAGCACCTGTAAATTTCTGAATGAGTATCAATTTCAGAATCGCTCCCTAATTGCTTTCTTGAATATTAACTGAAAGTAATCAGATACTTGGATTAAAATGTAAGTATGAAATAACAATTCCCTTGAGTAAAGCATTCCTGTATCAATACCTGATTCTTTTACCGTACTTTTCAATTTTCAAATAACTGATCAAAGTGATTTGCTTTACAGTGTGATATTCATCCAGCCATTAGAGTGTTGCCCCCCCCCTTCCACTTTCATGGAGAAAGGCATCCAATGGCGTATCTATTTTTTTATTATTTAAAAAAAAAGTGTTTCGCCACCCTCTATATTCTATCAGGAAGAGAAGGAAAACTGATGAACCATCAAACTTTTCTTTTAGGTTTTTTGCCTCACCTCCACATCCACTTCAAGGAGAGAAAGCAACCAATGGCCAAAGTAATGATTTTCACAAAGGATATTGACCCCACCCTTTTCACTTGCGGCTTTTGGTAGATTTTTATACCACGCGTGTACCTCATGTCTTGCATGACTGACTGACTCACTTTCTAGATGCCCCCATTTCTAGCGCTCTCAGGTTTAGCCAAGTATAATTTCTTGCGTAGCCCCATTTCTGGAAATGCTTGCATCGAGATATGCCACGCATCACAGGCTCTGAAAATGTGACATCAACGAGGCATTAGAGGATATTGCCCGAGACAAATTTCCTCATGCATGAATGCATCATGAGATTATCTTATCAAGTGGGAAGAACGATGAGTTTTTATCTCAAATATTTGTACACTCTTTGGTTGTTTAGGCATCCATACCAGCCAGGCGTATTCTCAATATCTATACTCATTTCACCGCTGAAGCATAATTAATGACATCAAAATATTTTTCATCAGCATGATGCATTTTAGCTCTTTATACTCTTTAGCTCACTGCATCGGCTGATCGTCCAGTTTAATTTAGAAAAATTCTACACAGTAATTTGTACTTACGATATGGGTAGTAAGAAAAGGCACTTCCAGTACAAAATTGCTTGTTTAGAGCTAGAGCTAGAGAGGTACTAACTTTGTATGAAAGTATATGATTTAATACCCTTCTCAACTCTCAACATACATACTGCATTTTTCTTTCTTACCTGTCGGCTGCGGAAGCTGACACAGTAACTGCACGCTCTGACAACCACGTTCAATGGAGTACTCTTCAAATTGGCAATTGGAGAGGTGGGTGCTATTGTCTCTACAATGAAAGTTCTCATAAAGGATTGGATAGGTATCCTTGTCCAGCGGAGTGACAAGTTCTGAATGTGAAGCCAGTGCTGCACCTGGGTAGCCCATTTGCCTGCAGACGATGTGAGCTTCGGTGATCGTCCAGGTGTTGTTGCAGACTGTACCCCAGGAACCTTGATAGAAGATGACCAGGAGACCAGCATTAGCAACATGGCCGTTGACGAGTTTGGCTGAGAAATCTGAAAGAGAGAAGAAAGAACGGTTCAATATCACAAACAAATATGCACTGTACAATCAAATAAATGATCAAAGATGAAGTGTAGAGAAAATGGAGAGAATATTCAAAGAGTCGTGAAGATTCAAATCATACAACAAATAAAGCTGCAAGTAGAAAGTTCACTGGTTTTACAAGTGAATGAGAAAAAGAGAAGATATTAAGATATTACTACATAAATTTAAGGAACAAAGAAAATAAATAGAAAAGAAAAAGAATAGAGAGAGAGAGAGGGGGTTGGAAAAAGAGAGAAAGAAAAATGAATATCGATTGGGACAAATACAGATGACCAAGGAAGATTGACGGTTTCAATTTAAAATCAAATGATAACAAAGCTAAAACATACTTGTGATGCAATATCAATCCTGTGTGATATGAATAGAGCTAGGATAGGAGTAACAAACACCATGTGAAATATACTTGCAGATATTAATGGCCATGGCTGTGTTTATTTGCTTCATACATGCATGATCAAAATTATCAAAAGGATCAAAACACTTAATGATGAGCACTTGCTTGATCCTCTCGCATTTGTTTCTGAAAACATTTTGGAACAGTTCAAGGCACACCACAAACTTTAATCTCACTTGCCAATGTAAAAATGATCATCCCTAACCTCATCTGCTGAATAAAACATCAACCCCAATATTGACTCTCCCAAGGTCATGCAAAAACCACTCTGACATTGTACTACAGAATGTCAGAGGAAACTTGAGATGACACTTTTTATTTCCCAACAGACAATCTTGGAATGCAACAACTCAAATGACACGAACGTGGTCGCCTTCCGTCGGCAGGAAAGCAAAGTCACGTCTGAAACTTCGTCAATCAATTTGGAGGTAACTCCCCTGATGTCTCCCCCCCCCCCAGTCCCAAGTGCTAATCAAGGTCATGAAAGTATTAAGGAGAGAGCCACATTGATATGGAAATATTGTGAGATTATGTTCATCTTTTCAACAAACATACATAGAGGTGTCGTGGATGAGTAGATACGTCGCCGGACTGTCGATCACAAGGTCCGCGGTTCGAGTCCCGCGGTGGCACTAATGTCCTTTGGCAAGACATTGATCTACATTTGCCACTCTCCACCCAGGTGTTAAATAGGTACCAGTAGGAAGGAATTCCTTGAAATGCTGTGAGCGTCGAAATCGGCAGCCTAGCATAGCCGGGTAATGTTTGAGCGCCTTGAGGACCTTGCAAGGTCGATACGAGCGCTATATAAGAATCCAATGTTATTATTATTATTATTTCATTCTTAAGACCAGGCTGGATTTTCAATGTGCTAGCATTAAAATGTGTCATCTGAAGTTTCCTTTGACGTTCTGTAGTGCAATGTGAGAGTGGTTTTAAGTGACCTTGGACTCTGGAGTGGTAATATCATGATTGTGATTCATGTTTTATGCAGCAGATGAGGTTAAAGATTATCATCTTACAGTGTGAAGTGAGATTACAGTTTTTCATTTGTATTGTATTAAAATACACAACAACATTAAAGTTCACTGCTTTTTATTTTGCTAAACATGCTTATGATAAAAGCAGTTTACAAATCAATCAAATTATGAATACATTGACAAGTCATCCAGACAGTTCATCTACTGATATGTCTGCCCTTCAAGTAGTCAATGAATGTTTGATCTATTATGCAAACAATATGAACTTAAGCTCTTCCCCGTAGAAGCATGACACGGGCCACTATCACCCACTATTATCCACTCATCACTTAAGTTGCATGCACTCAGTGTGTAATGACATCTGTATGGTCATCTAAGTCAACATCTAACTGAGATAGCTACTCTCACATGCTCAATTTCTGATAATCGTCACCTTTCCACGAAGGTAGTCTGGACATTTTTGCATTTTCTCCCATGTTTGGGGTTAAACCTGCATCCAATGACAATTGAATCTTACTGATCTATTGGACCCCGTTCTCACTCACTTCGTTGGAGCGCTCTGGAGCGCTCTAACTAAGACCCGCTCCTCAGGAGCGGTTCTTAGGTGAGTGAGAACGCTCAAAGTGGTCCAGGAAGCGGACTTCTGGACCGCTCCAGAAGTCCACCTTCCGAGGTGGTCTTGAGGAGCGGGTCTTATTAAGAGCGCTCCAGAGCGCTCTAACGTGCAATGTGCACGGAAGCGTACTTTGAGCGGAAGTGAGCTAGTGACGTTCCGTGCGAAACATGTAGTACGGTACATACGGTTTGTATTCCGCGCGCGAAAAAATTGACCCGCCTACCTGAGCTGCCATAGCAACAAGTCCACTTTGACTCGTGGAGCGGTTTGAGCCATAAAAACTGCTCGGAGTGTGAACGCTCGCAAACCGTTCCTCAAGACCCGTTCCTCTGGAGCGGTCTGGAGCGGTCTAACTAAGACCACTTTCAAAGTGAGTGAGAACGGGGTCTTGGTTAACTACTTTTACAAAACAGAAACAGTAGTTGTTTCCACATTCTTATTTCTTAGCAGCCAGCAGTGAAGAATCAAAACTTATCGCTTAATGAAAATTTACTTGCTAAATGTATTTGCACCAAATTTGGCAGTTCAATCCTCTCACAAATTTTCTTTTAAACATTTGTTGTCACTTGGCTTCCCTCTCATTTATATAAGACAGTATGAATTATTTCCATTGTGATTTTGTACCACTTCATACCACATATATTTTCTTTAAGATTAGTTTGATTCTTCCATAAAATCTTCTCCAAAATTCTTTTTCTCTTTCCTCAATCAATTTTTATAAATATATCTTTTTAAAGTACAGTTTGTTCTATCCATGTCTCATATTATCCTATATTTCTCTAGAATCCTTTTGATCTATTAATCTTGTCTTTCATTTCAAATCAATAGTTTCATAAGTATCAATAGTTTCATAAGTGTCAATATTTCCCACTTATCATTCTAAATCCTTCTCATAGATAATCTTTCCCTGTCAGAAGTGTTTTTCCTTTCTAATACCTATTTTAAGATTTAGATCTTATCCATTGCACTCATCCATTGTTCTTCACAAATCCCCCTCTCTTGATTACATAAGTAATGTTATCAAGGGGGTTTCTCTCTAGCTTTCCACGTTCTCTCTCTCTCTCTCTCTCTCTCTCTCTCTCTCTCTTTCTCCTTCTCATGCCCCCCCTCTCTCTCTTCTTCTCTCTCCCTCTCTTTCCCCCATCATTTCTTATTCATATTTTGTCTTAACAGTTCACCGGCACTTTCCCTTTTATCATTTCTTATTTATGCTTTCATCAAAATTGCCCTGTCCTGCCCTCTCTTTCATCTTTCTTATTTATATTTAATTTAAAGAGCGTTTTTAAAACTTGTTCAACTTTCTCTGTCCTCTGCAACCCCTCCTCATTTGATCCATGCATTTCCCACCTCTCTCTCCCCCCCCTTCTCTTATTCTCTCTTTATCTCTTTATCTCTTTCTCAACCTCTCTCTATATTTTTGTATCCTTTTCTCTCTTCTCCTCTATCAAAAATTATTTCCTCAAAATAGTCTAATTACATCAGGGAGCCAACAAAAATCAAATTATAACAATTCCCTCATTCCGTTGGCTGGGCAAATTCTAAAAGAGCATCAAATTACACCATGAATAATTCGGCTTTATGTTATTAGTCCATGTGTACAACACAATTACTGATGAACTTCTATGCAAAACCAGTAGCAGCATCAGAAAAGGGGGATAGACCAAGAGATTGGATAGACCCATATAAAGGTTCTCCTATAGTCAGCATCTAACATGAAGGACAATCTCCTAAAATGAAATGGGGAACTTCACTCAAAATGTATTTACACTAATGTATGGCTCAAGAATAGAGTAGAAACATTGTCCCAAAGAACACAGAAATGTGTCTGTTTTTTGCGCTAGAAGGATGTTTTAAAACATACTTTAACACAGAGTGAACACCTTTCAGGTGATAAACAGATGAATTGCAATGAAATTTTCATTTTCATTTGAAACTCAAATAGATAATGGGGGAAGGGGATTCATCTGGAGAGCATTTCAATCTTTTATGCATAACATCATACACAGGGGGGGGGGGGAGATTAGAATATATCCATATAAAGTTAAACATCAGCATCCAACTAACAGACTCAGTTAAAATAAACATATGCCACAAACTGCTGATAAACTTTAAGTTCCAACATGATATTTCTTTTAGCGTTCTCTCTTAAATATGTCTGCATGTCTTAGATTGAATTCAATCACGTTGACTTAACTTCAATTAGACTAGAATCAAATCAAAGTGAATTGAAGTGAATAAAATTGAATTAAAAAGTAATGGACAAATTGAACTGAAATGAATTACGTGAACGTAGTCATGACAAGTTCTTGTAGTTTGACACTAGTGAGAATGCCCTTTCAGTATATATGGGTTGCTCACAATGGGGAGAAAAGTCAGTGAACAAACAATTTCAATTTGATGGCCTTTGACTCTCTAGAGGCAGGATGGTGTGGATTCTTGCTCCTATTCTTACAGGACACATTTAATTGAATGATGGACATTCACTGCTCTCATTAAATCATTCCTCTTTTCTCTGCCCTCCTCTTTCTCTCACCCTCTTTCTTGACCCTTTTCTCTATTATCTATTTGTATCTTTCTATTTCATTTCCCTCTTTCATGCATGCCTCCTATGTCACTTTAATGAAATTAATTATAAAACCTCAGTTTTCATGTCATCACTTTACTTGCTTTATACTCTGCCCTTTGCCCTCCCCATCTCTGTTTCTGTTTCTCTCTCCGTCTATCTGGCTAACCTCCATTATCTCTTTGTTTGTTCCTTTCTATTTCGTATCATTCATTCATTCTTGTTCACTATTTCACCCCAAATTCAATGACGATATCTGTCCACCCTCGGTTTCACATTCTCTTGTTTCTTTCTATTCATGTTTCTATTTACCTCTTTCTGTATTACCCCCCCCCCCTCTCCCTATGTCTGTCACTTGAACAGACAAAATTGTCATCAAATTACTGACCAATCAT